ACGTGCATGAACATGACTACATAGCAGGCTGATATTGTAACCAAAATATTGCAGGAAAGGCAACATTTGTTTAAAATAACATTTCAGCAATCTCATATTTTCAGTATTTTCATCCAAATTTTGATAGTGTTATGTTTTTAAATTAAATGTCTTTTTTTCAAATATATATTTCAGAAATTGTTGAACCAGTAGAGGCAGCTCGCGTACCACCAGTGGTATGAGTAGTCTGAGAACCAGTGGTGTAGAGCATGTCAAAACAAAACCAATCATATAAAGACATTATTATATACGTATATGTGACTCTACTGACTCAAAACATGCTTCAGAATCTCTGAATGTGTGAGTCAGAACAGCAGATCTGTGTCATGTGAGGCTGAAAATTAGAATTTGGAAACTTAACACCTGCAGTGTGAATGTAGAAAGAAATGAGTCCCCATAAAAATGTAATGTGGCGTCTGTCTGATGGATGGATGTACTGTCCCTCTTCTGCCACCTCACCTGAGCATGACGGTGAGAACAGTGAACAGGTACTCCTCAACAAAAGCAAAACCAATCACACCGGCTGCTGCAGCCTTTTGTTGTAGGAAACTATTTACTAAGCATTTGTTTACATAAGGGATCATTAGACTGTAAGAGCTGTTCTAAAGTGTGACTTCACTGAATAATAACTAGACTCAATGGGTGTAACATTGTTGGCACTTAGAGAGAGCGTTACTGTGTCAAACATTGATGTAAATGTCATGTTTCAGCCGTGTCACCCAGAGGGGAAGGAAACCAGAGTAAGCTATATACAGTATACCACTGTAACTCTGTAGTAGAAGAAGTGGTTTGTTTATTTGTAGCACAGGTCACATATAATGTACGGTGATGGATATTGTATGAAAAATACACACAGTAACTGATGTGTATTCTGAGATTTATTAAAAATATCAATTTAAATACAGAAAAAAACATAAAACGTAGTGGTGCACTTTACAAACAGTAGTCGGCACTCGAGTCGCCGTTCGGGGTGTCATTCTTGGCTGACACGAAATTCCCGGTTGCGTTTACTGTCATCAGCAATCCGGGAGAAAACGTGTCATTGAGGAAAAAACACCTTGAGCATCAGGCAGTGACACCAGACAACTGAACTTCACGCGTTACACTCCAGTATGTCCTGTTTACGGCAACACAGCATTCAACAACACCTTACTGGTGTTAGTTTCACTTTCTTTACTGATTTGAGAGAAACAAAAGTAAAGTATCTGAACTTGAAATAGTGAATCAGACCTTTGGTTTTATACTCGTGGCTCAGTCAGCTGGGATGTGTATTTATACTGTATATACTTTTATACTGTTACCAGTGTTATACTGTTTTAAATTTATTGTTTGTTTTTTTTCATTTATGGAACAATAAAGTTTTCAACAGAAAAAACAGAAGCTGACTTGTAAAAATGTCATCTGCCGTTGAAAAGTGAGAATTTGATGAATGATTTGTGGTAGGAAGGAGGAAGCTCCACAGCAGCCAGTCCGCTCATGATGTCCTGTGCATTGTGGGATGGAAACGGACCCCATAACCAGCTGGAGCTCAGAATCACAGCTGCATTATGGGTTCCGTTACAATCCCACCCACCAAAACGAGCTTCAGGTCGGGGCTCAGTCTGGTCAGGTAAACACTGCTAAAAAGAAAAAGAGATGGTTATTAAAAGGGAAGAAAATGTGAATTTATAAATGTCCCTTTCCTCCTTTTAGAGAAGTCTAACTACCTGCTACACGATTTCAACAAAGTGTAAATGAGCGTTGTTTCCGATGTGGAACTGAATGAGCAGCAAAGAGTTGAGTTAAATAATTCAGTGCAGTAATAACACATATTATCGACCTAATCGATCAGCTCAACCGATCAGTGTAGCTCTGTAAGCTGTGGTTGTAACTACATTCACATCAATCAAACCCTTTTCCTTGAGTTGCATATAAAGCTCAGCTCATAAACCAAAAGACAAAACACATTTAACTGACAAATGACAGGAACACTTTGGATGCCCTGGGAACATTTTCTTTCGTTCGTTCTTGGTTTAGCTTAGAAATGAATTTGGTTATTTTTCAGCTCTTTTATTGAACAATAAAGCCTCATTTTTACAGCAGCAGGTCTGAGGTTCACTGGGTTGAAGTGTAACATAAAACAAGACAGCCATTAAGAATCATCCATCCACTCAGCTGTAACTTCACTCACTCCTGAGGGAAAGGACTTACAATGTAAGCACAGTTAGTTTTTCTCACATAGAACAGAATGGCTGCCTGTATTCTCATCTTAAAAAAAATATATTCATCAAGTTATTGCTCATTTTGTTTTAAATTTAAGCAAATCTTTCTAAAAACAAAGTATAATTTATTTTATAATATCATTTTTAAGACGGTATGTACTGTTGTATTTTCAGTAAAAGGTAGGCAAACAAAATAAGTATTTTCTGTATTTAAGTAAATCATAAATACAGCCACTATAAATACACGTTTTTGATTAAATGTTAAGGAAATATTGGTACATTTTTTGCATCCTTAAAAGTCTGTGAAGTCCAACACTGGTCTTAATGCCGGTTAACAGACAATTTTAAGAAAGTTTAACATTTTTAAACCAAGAAGATTTCAGCGGCTGAAATCAGTAACACACTTTTAAATAGCCCTTTGTAGTAGTGCAACATCTAGAAAAACCTGTTGTGTATCAACTGTGAAAACAAGAAAGAGAGCAAGCAAGACAGGGCACCGGAGGTCAGCCTGACAAGGAAGAGCTGATGGAACGATAAAAGGAAGGAGAGAGCTGAGAAAAAAAAATGAAGGAAGAGATTTACAATCATTGTGCTCTTCCTGCGGAGATTAAAGTAGCTTTTAGACACTGATTTAAAGCTGCATTCATTTCTCATGTCCTAAAAAGCCTCGAAAACCCCCTGAAAAATGAGAACTAAACCCTGGAAGGAAAGAGGCAGTTGGTGAAAGAGAGAAAGAGAGAGAGAGAGAGAGAGAGAGAGTCTGCCAAATGCTTTCAGTTTGTCATCCATACTTCAACCCTTGATCGGGAAGCCTGGAGGCTCTTTAGACGAATGATGGGACAAACACATTCATTACAAGCAGTAAATTGAGGTTTTATGAGGAGGATGTGGGTACAAAGTTTGAAAGTAAGAAGTCAAATGAGGAGAAGGAGAGGTGAAGTGAGGTCAGGCACTTAACAAAGCCAGCAGAGTGAAAGCAAAATGAAAGTACACCAGGAGCTGCCAAAAAAGACTGCAGCAGCAGTTATTCACAGTCATGATGAAGTTATATATGAAGTAAAATAGTGCGTAAAAGTTCTCACCAACATCTCAGAGCAGAGTGTCCTCCTCTGTTGTCCCGTCGGCCAACAGCTCCGACAGTCCAAACTTCCTCTTTAAATACTCTAGAGATTAATTTCACTTTCACTTCTCCTGACCAGACAAAAACTCCTCCTTTCCTTCCTTTATCCACCCACTCCCCGACTCCTCTCCCTGCTGGAGAGACGACAGCTACTATCCTTTTTTTCTTTTTTTAAACTGTCTTTGTTCCAAATACGCTCCAGGAGAACATACATGCTCACATTTAGTCATTTTACCTGCTTGTTTGTTATCAAAAAGTTTGCCCGTGGAGTTTCTCTTTCTTTGTCTTATTCAAACCGAACTGTTTAAGTTTCATTTGAATATAAGGTTTCATATATTAAGGTTTCTATATTATGAGGTATTCTGACAGTTATATACTCCTGTTTTAATAACTTAAGGACAGAGAAGTGAAATGAAATCAGTTCATGTAAAGTGATCCCTGTTTGTCTAAAGGGTTGTGTGATATGTGCACCTTGACTGAGCTGTATGTAGTCAGTTCAGTGTGTCCCTGCCAGTTGTTACATGTCTGCCCTGGTTGACATCAAGATTTTAATCGATGTACATTTTATAAAACAAAAGGGTCGGTTCACTCAACAAAAATAGTTTATATGTATTTATATATTTTAGTTTTTGGTTAGTTTTGGTTTTATCTTCTGAGGAAAAGTTTAAACACAGAAACAATTAAACAGATCCCATCCCCCCAAGAGTTTTCACTGGAAATACTTGATGTTAGAAATAAAATAAATCTAACAGTCCCTCTGAGACAGTGTTTCTGGAGAGAGATGTTGGTGTTACATTTTTCTACTCGTAATTTTTCAGTGCTGTGAGCACCACAAAACAGGGTTCCCGAGTTGAAATCTCAAAACCTGGACAAATAAAACCAGATCTATCTGTGTGGCTACATACTACAGGGGGTATGTGAGAAAAAAAATATTTTTGTTCAGTTTTTTTGTCACTGGGTCAACCATTATCAGTATTAGTTTTTATTTTCTGTGACTGAAGCTCACCTATACAATACAATACAGTACTTTCCTTTATTTGTAATTTGCCTGGTTTCATTCTTTACTTTCCATTATATTATTTATGAAATTATATTTAAGTAAGTAAATATGTAAATTATATTTAAGTAAGTAAATATAATTTCTATATTTCTGTCAATTAATCTCCGTCTTGGAAATTTTGTAGAAATCTGGTTCCAAAAGTATCAATGTAGTTTTGGTCCAATCCTGCCTTTAGTGTTTGTTTTTTGGTTTCAAACTTAACTGTTTGAAAATGTACTGCCTCCAAAACAAATTTATTTTACAGAAAAAGTTCTCTGTGTACTTTAGACAGTTTCATTTTTAAATTCCATGCTATTTTTAATTGTTACACACAGTTAATGTAAAGTCTGCCTTTACATATGTGGCACACAAAAACCATTAGGACCATTAGTAGTAGTAATAGATTGTCTAATGCAGCTAGTAAGTATTGTAATAGTTGCAGTAATGGTAGTAGTGCTGTTTTACATTACAGTTTTTCTCATTTGCTTTGGCTCATGTCAAACAGTTTTAACGTTCTCTAAACTCTAAGAGCACTATGGCACATCACAACTCTAAAGGTTGTAACTCACCTAAAACATTTTATTC